ACATACATGTTGGAAAAAGTCTAACTTTTCAGTTCATTTCTTTGAGAGAGGATACCCAGAAAAAGTGAGATCTAAGAGCAAAGAAGTCTTCTCAAAGAGAGACCAAGGATACACCTGACAAAGTCCTCCCTGTGGTGACTCAGCTCTTAGAGGAATTTGTAGAAACTTAATTTCCTGGGATCTGGAAACTAATGCTTGCTTTCACTTCTGTGAAAGCCCTTGGTTCTGTAGAATCCCAAGCCTGCTTCTCCACCTTGATTCAAACAGACCAATGAGAAAGGTACCTGTGGGTGAGAACTTTTTAACTGGAGATATAAAGGAGAAGACTGAGCCAGTTGGGTGCACAGCCATTTTTGGACTCTTGTCTGCCATTGCTCCACTGGTGGAATAAATCACGTCCTCTTTTAAATGTGCTGTTTGGGTGTTCTTTCTTTCCAGTGGGCCTCGTCTTCCTGTAGCGTCTTGTAATAAACTACCTGGCATGAGGTTACTGAGTGTACGACCGTATTTCTGATTCTTAAAACATATTTTCAAATATTTCCAAAAGTGCTGTTCCAATTTATCAGGCCACGTTTGATCACTATAGTATTGCAAGTATTGGTTAGTTTTACATTTTAAAAATGCAAAAGGTAAAATAAATTCATACTTTTCAGTTATGTTTATGTTATAAAGATTTTAAAAACTTCATGATACTGATTGAATATGTGCATATGTGTGTATGCATATACATATGCATACACACACATTGATGTCTGTTGACTTAATCACCTAGGACTTCTACGTGTCTTTAATAATCTTTTTTTTTTTAGAGGCAGAGTCTCATTTTATCGCCCTCGGTAGAGTGCTGGGTGTCATAGCTCACAGCAACCTCCAACTCCTGAGCTTAGGCATTTCTTACCTCAGCCTCCCAAGTAGCTGGGACTACAGGTGCCCACCACAATGTCCAGCTACTATTTTTTGCAGTTTGGCCAGGGCCTGGCTCGAACCCACCACCCTCAGTATATGGGGCCAGTGCCCTACCCACTGAGCCACAGGTGCTGCCCCATGTCTTTAATAATCTTAATGCCTGTAACTCTTTAGGCTATGGCTTTAATTGGCTTACAGAATCTGGTAACATCAATGTGCAATAGGTACCAAAGAAACAATAATAAAAAATGTAGACACGGTTCATAATCTGGAGCCATAATCCTGTGGGGAGACACCTGTGAGTAGGCAAATATATACTGTATAGTAACTGTGAAGTTGTAAGTTCAAGGTTCAGTTGGTTTACCAGGGAAGGTGTTATGCCCGAAAGTCTCCCAAAAGACCCCCACAGACAGTCCGAGACACACTCCAATGTAAAAAGCACGAGATGAGTTTATTTCAGGCCCAGGGAAGCCTGGACTCTCCTGGCATGCAAGCCTAGGATCAGCCCCGAACCTGGGGTGTGCAAGGTTTTTATGGGGTACAGAAGGCAAAAAGGGTAGGGTCAGGGTACGGGTACACTCCTGATTGGTGGTTGATGATTTCACTAGTAAAGGAGGATTTGGATTGGTACAGGTGAGGGGGAGGTTTCTTAACCGGGGCTAGAGGTGGTGTAGCCTAATTAGGTAGTTGAAGGAGAATACCTGAATTTCAAGGAAGTAGAAACCTATTGCCTATTATGGGAGCTGTTCAAGGGAACTGATACTTATTGCCTATTATGGCAGCTGTCTGCCTACGGTGTCTCAATCAGTGGCTGTGCAAGCAGGTGTGGGGGAGGCAGCAGGGAGTGGCCCTGCGGTTTTAACAGAGCTTATGTAGTAGACAACAAAATGGCGCTGGTCTGGCCCTTACAAAGGCACATTACACAGAGCAAGAGGCTCAGCAAAGACATTCTGAAAATGAGATATATGGGTAAAAAGTAAGGATTGAATAGCTAGTTATGTGGGGATGGAGCAGGCAGTCATGAAATGAGGGGGCAGTATGTACACCTTCAACAAAACCCCAGAAGAGAGAATATGGCTTAGTCAATGTACTGTAAGAAAGTACAATCAAAATTGGTCTGTCTGACTCCAGAATCAGGTTCTCGGCCATCAGCCTTAAGAAGCTACAATGACCAGGAAACTGGAGCTGCTGAATATGTAGCCAGCTTCTAAGACAGCCCCCTGTAATCTCTATCTTCTTGTAGCATACTCTTGTGTGGTCCTCTCCCCCAGTAAAATGCATAACTTTTAAGACCACAGGGCATTGTGGAAGAGACTGATGGTGAATGGATTCTGAGACCAAGTCACAAAAGACCTTGCTCCTTGTGTCTCGCTTTCTTAGAGGGCTTGCTCTGGAGGCAGTAGTCAGGGAGACCTCAAGCAGCCTGGGACACCCTATGTGGGAGGGTGCTGAAGCCTCCCACCAACAGCCTGCACTGACTTGCCAGTCACAGGGAGCCAATGAATCAGCCTGGTGGAGAGGAGGAAAACAGTTTTGTTCCCAAGACCATGGTGTATTGGGACTTGATGAGGGTGTATATGGGGTCTTCAGCTGAGTCCTGTCTGACAAGATCTGTCCTACCCTCATCCTGCAGAAATCTCAGATTCATGGATATTGCTGTACATCTCCAAAGTCCATTCATCTTACTGCTTGCTGTATAACACTCTTTTGAAACCATTCACAGAACAGCCCCTGTACGGCAGCAGCCTGTGGGCATCAATGGCTGTGAGTGTATGGTCGGGGGGGTGTGGCTGCTGCAACCACATGTAGGTGACTAGCTGCTCTTTGACAGCATGGGTACCTTCACCGTGGGCAGGGACTCCTCCTCCAGGGGCCCTAAGCCTGCTGTGTCACCTACACCATGTCCAGGTGGCCTGAGAAACACTGTGAGAGCAGCTGCTTCCTGTAGGAGGGTAAGGACATTGAGGGCATGTGAATCCTGTGACAGGTAGATCACAGACACCGTGGGTGTGAGCATTGTGTGAGCGGGAGAACCTCAGCAGGGCCACAGAGATGCCTCTGGGAGAGGTAGGGCAGATAGCAAGTAAGGAAAGCCTCTGCTGCCCGCTCTGCCACCTCTACACTCTACCTATAGTATTTCTGCCCTGTAAATAGGACCAGTCTTAACAATCGCTGTGATTTAATCCTGTCCCTTCTCAACTCTGCCTCCTCTATAGCACAAGGGGCCCGGACAGCCAAGTGTGGGGGTAGTCTTGGGATTTCTTCCTGTCTCCTTCCCTCCTTTCTAAATATGAAGCAAGGACGGGTATAGTGGCTCACGCCTGTGATCCCAGCACTCTGGGAAGCTGGGTGCAGCAGCTCATGCCTGTAATCATAACACTCTTAACACTCTGGGAGGCCGAGGCGGGTGGATTGCCTGAGCTCAGGAGTTGGAGACCAGCCTGAGCAAAAGTAGACCCCATCTCTAAAAATAGATAGCAGTGTATGGCAGGCACCTGTAGTCACAGCTATTTGGGAGGCCGAGGCAGGAGGATTGCTTGAGTCCAAGAGTTTGAGGTTGCTGTCAGCTATGATGCCACTGCCCTCTACCAAAATGAAACTGTCTAAAAAAAAAAAAGCAATGAATATTTAGCTTTTTACATACTAATGCAAACAAAAAAACCCCCTTGCTTTATCAGACAGTATGAAGAAGATGGGAAAAATTACGACTAGTCAGTAGAAAAGGCTAGATATGGTAGGGTCTTAGAAACTATTAAAAAATTTGAACTTTATGCTAAGGATAATGGAAAGCATGTAACTCATCCAGTAAACAGTTTTAAGTAGGGAATGATATGGCCTAGTGTCTGGGGAAGACCACTTTGCTTTTAGATGGGGGAAGGGACTGTGGGGGATATAAGCTCAAAGGCACTGAGATTAACTAAGAACCTCACATGCTGTGACAACCTAATGGGAAGAGAGGATGACTTGGGCTTATGCGTTCAGACAGCATCATGAATTGTTTTGTGTTTTGCCCACTCCCTAGCAAAACAAGCATGACTGGATATCCAGGGTTTCCATAACAAAGCACCAAACTCTGAGCAGCTTCAACAGCAGAAACTTATTTTCTCACAGTTTGAGAGATCACAAGTCTGGGATCAGGGTGCTGGCAGGGTTAGTTTCTTCTGTGGCCTTTATCCTTGGCATGCAGGCGGCCATATTTTACCTGCATCTTTACTTGGTCTTCTCTCTGTACCTGTGTATATCTGTGTTCTAACTTCCTCTTCCTACAAAGGCACCAGTCATATTATATTAGGGCCTGCTCCAATTACCTCATTTTAACTTAATTCTCTTTAAAGACCCTATTTCCAAATACAGTCACATTCAGAGTTACTGGCGGTTAGGACTTTGATACATGAATTTGGAGAAGCACGTAACTCATTCCACAACACGGTTGAAAACTATAAAGACAAAAAAAAACTTTCTAAAATCTCTGGAAATTGTCCTAAAGATATAACGGCAAATGAAAACTTTTTTCATGAAAATCTACTAAAACTCAGTAAGACCAGTAAGAGTATAGGGTCTCTGTACCTAGTGCATATTTTTAATTGAGGGATAACTTATAAACCTAAAGTGCACTGACCTTAAATTGTAAAGCTCGATTATGTTTACAGATGTGTACGCCCGTGCGACCACTGTTCACATCAAGATGCTGACTGTAAACTGGGTATCCTGGAAGGTTCTCTCTGCACTTCCCCGGTCTATAATACCCCAGAAGGAAATCAATGTTCTGACTCCTACAAGGATCTTTTACTACAAAGGGAACTTTTTACTACAAAATTTTTTCAAAGGAAATAAAACTCTGAATGTGTTTTAGCACATCGTAAGTTTACCAGATACCAACTATCTGGAGCCAAAGTTAAGAAGGCGACTTCTAAACGATCCTCCCACAGAAAGCGCCTTCCCCTTTCCCCGCTGCGCCTTCTTCCGCTCTTTCCCTTCCAGATGCTGCTGCGCGGTTCCAGGCGGGAGAGTGTCCGCTCTCCTGTCATGCGCACTACGGCGAGGCGCTCTTCTCTAATCCACCAACCGCAGACACCAGGCTCAGGCATGCGCATTGAGACTCCTCTAGGGCTGGTGTGGCTGGCAGCGACGTCGTGCGCACGCGCAGACCGGCGCGCTAGGGCGGAAGTGGGGGCTGCCGCAGGGAGGTGGGGCCGCCGCGCTCGCTGCGAGCTGGGCTAGTGGCCGACATGGCGCCGTCCGGGAGTCTCGTGGCTTCCCTGGCAGGCCTGCTGCTGTTGCTTTTAGGGGCTCCGTGGACCTACGGGCGGCGGAGCAGCGTGCGCGTCATTACGGACCAGAACTGGAGGGACTTACTGCAAGGAGACTGGATGATAGAGTTGTGAGTGCAGGGCGGTCGTCCCGGTCCTGTCTCCGAGCCTGGGCTCCCGACTCCCCGCCGCGGTCCTGACGCAGGTCCCGAGGTCCCTGTTCCGCCCCTCCGAGTCGCAGAGCGGCCGTCCCCTACCCGGATCCCCAGCCTCACTGTCTGCTGGTTTCTGACCCGGGAATATTAAGTTTCTTGGCGTCCACCCTAGTTCCGTTTCTAGGGCTGTGGTGCGCTTAGGCTTTCGTGCCGCTTCGCATTCTAACTTTCCTTAATGACTTTGAGAATGAGGTTGGGGCGGAGAGGGGTCCTGCTAGTTCCCGTGCAGTTATTTTAGAATGATGTTTTATAAACAGAATCCTAGGCTTATGGTCAAGTTTTTCAGAAGAGGATATTGAGTAAAGTCTCTCCGCCTTTTTGTCTACCATTGAAAGCCCACTCACAGTGTTGGAATGGGGCACTTTTTATTGTTTCTTTTTTATGGATTAGGTACATTTATTGTGAATACTGAGTAAATTCAAGTTGGGTTATTTTAAAATCTTAGTTTCCTTTTCCTCCTTTTATCTTCCCCCTTTTCACTCCACATCTCCTTTTAACTTCGTGTTTTTCTGCAGTGTAGAGAATAACTTGGATTGTGACTCCTAGGCCTTTGTAAGAGATATTGCATTAAAAGATACAATGAACATATTAATATGATTATTGAAATTCTTTAGGTCGTTTATCGTTCGAAGAACGTCTTGTCTTCTGTGGTGATTCCAATTTAATAATGCTGGTTTGTAGTAGGAAGTAAATCCCTTTGCTTTAGATGCTAAATTCGTGGTGGTGGCTGTGGTGGTCTTACAGTCCTGGTGGTATCACTGATATTAGTGAAAGCACCATGGAACGTTAACCTATGTCCTGGACACTGCTAGACACCTTTACAAATGTTAGATCTTATTTAATTCACTAACAATTCTGTGTGATAGGTATTTCCCCCATCTTACAGATGAGAAAAGATGTCTAAATATCTCAACCTATCCATAGGTTACTGTGCTGGCTTTCTTTGGATCTCTAGAGTAGGCATGCAATAAATGTTAGGACACCCTATTCTTTAACAAAATTCAGGTGAGTGTTTTCCTGTTTCACGGATGAGACTAGGGTTGCCAGTTAAGGAAGCAGATGGAAATGGACAGCTCCAAGGGGGAACCCAGAAGGCAAATGAATGAACTTTGAGTTATCAAAAAAAATAAAGATAAAAAAACTTACAACATTTATATGAAGTGTATAGGACAGGGGAAAATGTTTATAGCTTGCGGATACTCCGCAGCTCATTGTAATGAATTTTCAGGCACCATTGAACCTTCAGGGAAGAGGAAATGTAAACAGTGATGATTTTTATGTTTCAGTCATTGTCCTGAATAATTTGTTTTAGATTGTGCCCATAAAATATTCATTATCATAAGCAATATATTAAGGAATAGTGATTGTTTATTCGTATGCAAAATATAGGTAGGTATTACTCCAGGTTCTTTTTTAAAATCATTTGTTCAGACACTATAAATACAACAGTCAGAAGTAGTAAAACTAACAAAATATTGAATATGAAGTAAATCCAAATTAGAGTATTTATCTGCGATTACAGTATAGTGTTTTTCCTTAGCTAAAGATTTTAAGGTTATATAAGTCTTTAAAAAGCACCTGAGAAACAGAACAAACTTGAAAAGGAAGGGATCTAGGGCGACGCCTGTGGCTCAGTGGGTAGGGCGCCGGACCCATACAGCTCGGGTGGTGAGTTTGAACCCGGCCCTGGCCAAACTGCAACAAAAAATAGCTGGACGCTGTGGCGGGTGCCTGTGGTCCCAGCTACTCTGGAGGCTGAGGCAAGAGAATCGCTTAAGCCCATGAGTTGGAAGTTGCTGTGAGCTGTGACGCTTTGGTGCTCTACTGAGGGTGATAAAGTGAGATTTCTGTCCCTTAAAAAAAAGAAGGAAACTAGTAGTCCTAGTAACAGCCTGCTTTTGGTTGTGAGTGAATTACCTTCAGTAAATCCATTTCTAATTAAAAATTTTGTTGTATTTTGATTGTGATACAATCAAGGAGGTTCGGCTTTTATATACACATAATACCAGTTTGTCTTGTTTTATAATGCCTATTTTAGGAGTTTGATTTAACTGAAACAATTCAAGAAAATGTGACATAAACTGTATTTTTTATGTAATAGTTACGGGTTTTGTTCTTTCTGGTTCCTTAAAAAACAAAAAGAAAAACTGAGGTGTACATGGTGTTATTAGATAATGTATAATAATTAAGTGGAAAAGTAAACTTACAGGGAAAAATCAGGATTATCTCAGTAGATAATACCAGAGGAGTAATTAAAGTGCTAATATGGCCATGGAATTTGTAAACCCCGAAGTCTTAGAAACTGCCTGACCTCTCTGACCAACAGTTTTGTTTGGGCTGCTTAGTATTGGTGTGTGAGGTTAGTTTTGAGGTAATTTTCTTACATAAAAATGCTGTTCTCCAGCTTATAATTGTGAAATCGCCAGCCCTGGGGCCACCATCCCTTGTGGCAGGCCAGAGTAGTGGTGTCACCCTAAGATGGAGCCTGGCTTCCTTATTCATCACAGTCCAGGGCACTTCTTGTTTTTCCACCACCTTGGCATTTGTGACTTTGCAGTGTAAAATTACTAAAATTGGTGAACTCCAAATTTGATTTTGAGCTTTCTGGGGGTAATTTTTTTTTTTTTTGGAGACATAGTCTCATTATGTCGCTCTTGGTAGAGTGCTATGGCGTCACAACTCACAGCAACTTCAAACTCTCGGGCTTAAGCCATTTTCTTGCCTTAGCCTCCTGAGTAACTGGGACTACAGGTGCCTGCCACGACACCCAGCGGCTATCTTTTTTGTTGCAGTTGTTGTTGTTTAGCTGGCCTGGGCCAGGTTCGAACCTGCCACCCTCAGTGTAATGTGGCGCCAAGCCTCTGGGGGTCATTTTTTTAATAGAAAATGAAAAGGTATTGTTTTGCATGTGAAAAAGTCCTTGCATTTTTAGAACCTTTTCTCAGATTTTATGTGATTAGCATCATCAATTTATAGTTCTTAATTTCCAGGTTGCTAGATGTACAATTACAGCTTTCTCATCTGCATAAAATTAGCCACTCTGTTGTCTTCAGCATTTTTAATATAAAATATTCTTCACAAATTATATACATTTAAAAAATTTTATCTAAGATGGTCATATTAAATTGCTTAACAATTTTTTAACTATTTTTCGTAGTTATGCCCCGTGGTGCCCTGCTTGTCAGAATCTTCAACCAGAATGGGAAAGTTTTGCTGAATGGGGAGAAGATCTTGAGGTTAATGTTGCAAAAGTAGATGTCACCGAGCAGCCAGGTACTCTTAAGTCCATTTGTTTTTTTCTATGGTAATTTGCTTGATTTATGAGGTTGGATAATTAAGTTGTCATTGTATAAGGCCTGACAGTTAAATCTCAAACTTGCCACCATGCCGGTAACATTGGCAGCACTGTAAAAACAATTCGGTAAGGTTTCATAATCTTGGTATTTAAGTCTTTCACAGCTGTGTTTGTGCCAACACATGGCAGTGTCTTGCGGAGTGGCATTTGTTACTACTGTTGTGTGTTGTTGTGTGCCATACTATGACAGCTTTATGGCCATTCCAGAAAAGGAGTTCCAAAGTTGCTTTGAAAGGTGGACCAGGCGCTGGTGCACAGCTTTCCTAGGGGACCATTGTGATATTCAGCAACGTAGCACTTTTCTAGGTTGAGTTTGCAAACTTAATTGTCAGACCTTCTATTTATCCTCTTTTTTATATCCCATGATCTTAACTCTACCTTTCACTAGGTTTTGAAAACATATCACCCAGTCTGCATCTAGTTCAGCTGATTCACCTAGCCTGCCTCCCTGATGGGGGCTCACTGTGCGGTAACTGCAAAAGGCCAATTCCCTGTTTTGTGTGTGAAGTTCATTCTTTGTGTTGCTCTAAAGGACCTTGAAGCCCTCTCCTCATTCTTGCCTATAGAACTCTCTGGTCTTTTTTTTTTCATCCAAGGCCTCAGTGTAACATGTAAGATGCCTGGAAATTCTAGAACACTGTAGTCCAGGTGAACATTGGCCAAGGCAGCATTTGTACCTGCACTGAAGTTGAGCATACATGTGGTTGAGTTTCAGTGTAGAGTAATGGTCACGTGGCCTGACAAGAAAAGATCTCTATCTCAGAAATTAAGTCCCATATTTAATACCTGTGATTTGACAGTGTGGGCTCTTAAATATAAAGTCCTCATGGTTGGGGTGGGGGTATCAGGTACACTCCTGTCTTGGCCCCCTGGACAGGTAGCAGGCCCTGCCCGTAAGGATGCTTCTTTCATCTTACCTGTACTTGGTGGTCACAGTAAACCTGGGCTCCTGGCTGCTCCATCCCCAGTGGTAATAATCAGTATTATTTATTGAGCATTTACCTATAGTAGTCTTGCAGGTACTTTGCATTTATTATTTACTCTTAACACAGCTTTGTGAAGTAAAGCCTTCTCAGTTTACAGATGAGAAAACTGAGGCACAGCAAGGTTAATCCTTCCTTATATCACTGCTTGACTCGTGGCTAAAAGTAAATGTCAGTTGTTAGTGTTATTACCTGTCTTATGAAAGACTGGTCGCATTTTCCATTTGTTATCCCCTCTGTGAACTGCCTTGCCACTTACTACCAACTGCAGTTTCATTTTATTTTATTAGACCTTTCTAAGATCCTGTTACATGTGCTCTCCCATGACTACTGTCTTAATTTAGACAGTGGCATAATGGATGAGGTGCTTAAATGTATTCACAAATGCGTTTAATGTTCAAGCTTTGCTTACTTTCAAATTGAGAAAATATGTAGCAGTGTGTTTTTTTAAAGTTGCTCTAAGAACTTTTTTTATTATTTATTACAAAGCTCAATCATTAGGTTTAATTTTGTGTTCTTTGTATTAGTATTAAATAATTCAGTATTAACTTTTAAGGAGTCAGTGATCGGCCCGTGTAAACCTGCTGTTTTGTTCTTTACCGTTTGTAGGACTGAGTGGACGGTTCATTATAACTGCACTTCCTACTATTTACCAGTAAGTATTTGAAGATTCTCAGTTACAGAAGAACGCTTCAGAGTGTAATCAGAATAACAGGCCTCTGGCGTGGATCAGGGTTGCAGGGCTGAGGTAATCTCATTATATTCAGCAAGAATTTTAGAGAGCTTATTTTGCTCTTAGTGTCACCCAGATGCCTTTAGATAGTGGAGTGATGTGTGAAAGGCCCCTGTTCTCACAGATTTACAATTATTTTGGAGGGTGATATTGATATGAATGTGAATACCTGTTCAGCATGGTAAATGGTTAGGAGCCAAGAGTAGCTTTGTGCCCTATAGGTAGTTGGGTTTTTTTTTTACCTTTTTTTTTTTTTTTAAAAAAGCATAGAGCTACTTTATTCTCTGGTTTAGTTGAAAGCTTGTAGCAAACGTCAGCATTGTTATTAACTTCTAAAGCTAAGGGATTTAGAGACTTTTGGTGTATCTTGATATTTTAATCTTTTTGGTAACTTATCCTAAGGTCACAGATAAATTTATTATCTCCTTTTACATAACCCCCAACTGAGAATGATTATACTCAGGAAGCTCTAAGCCTGTGGGCAGCAGGAACTTTTATGATTGGGAGGGATACCTGTACAAAGGCAAACTCTCTCATTTAGGTTTAAACTGATTCCGTCCCTTCCAGCCTTTACATTCTCACAGGTTTCCTCTTCTGCAATAGTCCCTGGGCCTCCAGGGAGGACTTTGAGTAGCACAGGCATTGCCCCGGCAGGTTTCCTGACTCTGATTAAGCATTCAGCTGAGGTTACTGGCCACCCATCTATGTACACTTGGAACTCTGGTCACGAGATGTTGATTCACCAGTTTCTAAAAGACAGCTTTGCAAAGTTGATCTGAATTTCTTGTATTACTGGAACTTGTTCACGTGGCAGATAGTTGGGTAAAGGAGGAATCACTGTTAGCTGGAGTGGTTGCTAGTGAATTTGGGCTTTAAATGAAACCCTAGAAGTAGGATTTTTAAGAATACGAGGTAAGTATTCTATGGTGAGGATAGTCTCATACACAGCCATTGATAGGAACATGGCATCTTCAAAATGCAGCTCAGAAACTCGTGTTGCACGGCTGTGGGGAAAGCATGGGTGGTATAGTTGGGTTGGGTCAGAATGACTGAGATGATGTGGTCGCCACTGTCAGATCTCTCATCTTCTCAATGGAGGGTAGGAAATCTGAAATCTGTGTACCTGCTCTGTGCTCTGTCACTTAACAGCATTTGGTGGGTGGGTTAAATATAGGAGGAGATACTTTTCTCCTGCGTTAAAGTTATGAAAATGAGGTGAGAATTCTTGTTTGTATCTCTTGCTTTCCTTGTTTTTCTTTTTTGAATTCTCCCCTACTACCTTTATATTATAGCTACTTAAATTTCTGTTCCCTATCTCCTAAGTGCTTACTTCCCCCCCTTCTCACTTAATTCCTTTCCACATGTGTCCTTAACTAGTTTTAATCAATCTTTCCCTTTCTTTTTTACTTCTCAGTACCCTCTGAACTTATCTGGAATTTCTTGCCCTTTTTCTTTTAGTCACATTGTTTATCCTACCTTTTCCTTATTTTCTGCTTATTGAAATCCCACCCATCCTTCAAAGAATACTCAGATGCCACCTTCCCAGCAAGACGTTGTTTTTGGGTGAGGCCTTTCTTACGGTCTCTGCTTCTGGATGCATGAAGGATCCCCTAACCCTACTGTAGGTAGTAGGAAACCACTAAGTTTTTGCGCTATGCCCCAATGTACTATGAACTGTGTACATTGAGAGTGGGAAGGAGGTGGTGGATGTAAGGAAATCTGCACAGCTGACCGTGAGTAGAATCACTGGAGTGGTAGGAAGGCAGCACTGTACCGGGCACTTCAGAGAGTAAAGTAGGATAGCCAAGGTAATGTGATTATGACTGCAAGTACCAGAAAAATGCCTAAATTTTAACTTGTACTTTAATAATAGCTAATAATCTGTGCCAAACACTGTTCTAACAACTTTTTATATAGTACTTCTTTTAATATATGTACATAGCTTAAAAGTGGTTTTCTGAGATTTACCTACTCACTTTGTTTCATAGTTTTATTGTTTGGAAGAGTAATAATAACAAAGCTTTTAACAGTGGTTCTCAACCCGTGGGTTGCGACCCACAGGGTCACGGCATTAGGAAGGTGGAGAACTACTGGCTTATAATTATTTTAAGTTTTTAAAGAGGGGAGTCTTGCTCTGTTACCCCAGCTGGAGTGCAGTGGCATGATCATAGCTGACTAGCCTACTGCTCCTGGGCTTAAGACATCTTCCTGCCTAAGTAGCTGGCACCCTCCTACAGGTGTGTGGCTCATTTTTCGCGTGTGTGTGTGGTTTTTTTTAAGAGTTGGAGGGGGTAGGTCTTGTTGTGTTGCCCAGACCAGTCTTGAGCTCCTGGCCTCAAGCATCCCTGTTGTCTTGCCCTTCCAAAGTACTGGCATTATAGGTGTGAGTCGCCATACTTAGCCTTTTTTTTTAGGCAAACTCACTGTTTAAGACATGGGGCTAAGGTGTTGTGATTTAGTAATTATAATTTGCTACTTGTGCATTGCTAATACTTTCAAGTATTAGGGTTGGATATTAAATGAGGTGAAGAAATGAAGTTTTATATTCATGTAAGTTGATGTTTAATGTTTAATTTCTGATCCTTTTTAGTTGTAAAGATGGCGAATTTAGGCGCTATCAGGGTCCAAGAACTAAGAAAGACTTCATCAACTTTGTGACTGATGAAGAGTGGAAGAGCATTGAACCTGTCTCGTCATGGTTTGGTCCAGGTTCTGTTCTGTAAGTATGAGGGATTCTTACCCATCTCAGGATAAATTGGAACAGATAATTTTATGTGAACAAAACACTCATACTCAATTGTTTCTTGGGCTTGTAAGATGTATTCTGATTTATTATGTGTTATTTTTAGCTTGACCTTCTCTTTTAAGGCAAATATCAATAGATATTCATGCTTGTTAAGCTAGAAGGAGGCATTCTGTAGAATTAAGTTGAATACCTTTTTAAGGAATATTTTGGCTTTGTGAATTTGGTCAGACATATCATCAAAAACTAAATCCCTCTAAGAGTATGAGCAGTGTATGTAATGGGTAAAGCTATTACTTGAGTGTAGTAATTTGAATGAGAAGGGCCACAATTGTTTATTCGTGTTACTTTTAGATTTTAGTTCTTTTTTTTTTTCTTTTGAGATCAAAGTCTCATTCCCTTGCCCAGGCTAGAGTGCTATGACATAAGCCTAACTCATAGCAGCCTCAAACTCATGGGTTTAAGTGATCCTCCTGCCTCAGCCTCTTGAGTAGCTGGGACTACAGGTGTCTGCCATGATGCCTGGCTAATTTTTTTATTTTTAGTAGAGATCTTGCTCTTGTCTTGCTCTGGCTTAAGCTGGTGTCAAATTCCAGAGCTCAAGTGATCCTCCTGCCACAGCTTCACAGAGTGCTAGAATTATAGGGGTGGGCCACCGTGTTTGGCCTAGATTTCAATTCTTGATGTAAAGGGATTGAATTATAGTTGGTTGGCTACTCCACGTGTCTGATAACTTCTTGTATGAACAGTGTGGATGAATAGTGACCCTAATAGTGTGACTGATCATGGAGCGTCATAGATAGCTGAGGGTAGATATATTTCTCCACAGCAATTTGCTGTAGAGTGGTGAGGGTTAGAAATAACAGGTGCTGTTTCCTGCCACACTGCTGAGGTAGAGTGCGTCAGCGGTTACTTGAGAGACTCTGGAAGTAGTGAGTTTTACCATGGGCTCATCTTGGTGTGGCTAAGCTGTCCCTTTATGTCCATCAGCACACCTGCCCTGAGAGGGTAGAGAGTGGGACATAAAGAGTGAATGCGCAGGATTCTGGAGTGGAGCAAAGATCGGCCCTAGACAGTATTTTGAATTAGAAGCTCATCTGTAGCATTTTTCCCTTCCAAGCTTATCTTAGAAAACCTTTGAATTGTCTTTTTGCTGTCAGAACTTTTGACAGCAAAAGTTGAACCACCTGCCTAACCCAGTTACAGAACCAAGTGTTCTGAGCTCCTTGAGTTGCTGCCGATTGGAATGAGACTGTGCAGTGCCTTCCATTTCAGTCCCTCATCCTGTTCTCACTTGGCTTTCTAAAGACAGAGCAGCATGATTAAAGTCCCTTTCTGTGTTGAACTGAAAATGTGACTCATTTTATTTTTAATCCTGTCTCTTACAAGAATTTTATCCCTCTCCAGAAGAAGAAGGTGCTTGCTTGTAAGGCTGTGTTGAATCCTCAGGCATTGGTCTTAACTCTACACTGTTTTTATTGGTAGACTGAATAGAGGGACATTCCCAGTATTAGCTCAGCAGGGTCACTCACCCCAGTGATGGGTGATTGGATCAGGATACCCCATATCAGCTGTGGCTTCTGTGTTAAAAAGGCCTTGACAACACCAGCAAAGCTTCTTGCTAAAGAGAAGATGGTTGGGAACTCACAACCTTTCTTATTTCTGAAGCATGCCTTTTTTAAACTGTCCATCTAAACCAGTGGTTCTCAACCTTCCTAATGCTGTGACCCTTTAAATGTTAATGTCAAAGCAGTAGGGGAAAAGGAAAAACATCGTCAAGTATTTACGAGGATGTCACGTGGTAGTAACAACGCGGAATCCATTACTTTTCATGAATAAGCCTCATCACAGGCATGAAATCTGTGATATGCCATTAGCCTTGATTAACACCAGCAATAAAGTCTGTTGTGTTGGGGAAATTATAGAGTAGAAAATAGAAGTGTAGATGCAGACAGACGTGTATGTGTCACTCGGTTTTTCAATCATCTTTTTTTAAATTTCAGGATGAGTAGTATGTCCGCACTCTTTCAGCTGTCCATGTGGATCAGGGTATGGACTAAAAATTACTTCTGTCTATCTTAATCATTTTTTAAAACTATCACTTTTTTTTTTAATGAGCAGTGTTTTTCTTTTGTTTTTAGACTTGCCATAACTATTTTATTGAAGACCTTGGATTACCAGTTTGGGGATCATATACAGTTTTTGCTTTAATAACTCTGCTTTCAGGACTGTTATTAGGACTTGTAAGTACTACATTTTCAGAGGACTAGCAAGAAAAGTACTTTTCAATGTGACGATTTAATGCAGTTGTGCTAGCAGTATCCTATTCTCCCTTAAGATTTCTTCTAACGTTTCCTTCTGCAGTGTATGATATTTGTGGCAGATTGCCTTTGTCCTTCAAAAAGGCGCAGACCACAGCCATACCCTTCAAGTAAGTGTATTTTAAAATGTTTATTTTTATAATCCTATTCATTTCTGTAAACACAGTCATGCATTTTACAGCATGCCCTTTTGGCGTAGGTGTCTGAATTCTGAGTGGTGGTCTCTATCACGGTGGCATAGGGAGAGGGGAGGAGGTGTATCTTATGTGAGGATGGGAGCCTGGTGGATTTTGGGACATTGTTGCCTTTTGGACTCATAATGTGGAGAATTTAAGTTGAAATTCATTGCATATAGCGTGTAGATGTTTGATACTGATCTAATACCAATTTATTGGAAAATTTTGTGTTATTTATGGACCTTTTTTACTATACTTGAGTGAAAATTTTGATGAGTTGAGTATATCCCACTATTGAAGTTACCGCATTTGAAGATAATTCTTTGAACACTAGCTAGTTCTTAGTGTTTTCTGGTAGGATACTAGAAAGGATAATTCCTATAGCTTCTTTAGGATTGACATTGACACTCAACTATACTACACAATGAGATCCTGTAAGTAGAAGCATTTCCTGCTGTCCTAATAATAGAATTATCTACCAGTCATTTTTATTTTTTTATTTTTTGAGACAGCCTTATTTGTCGCCCTGAGTAGAGTGCTGTGGCCTCTGAGCTCACAGCAACCTTTAACTCAGGCTCAAGCAATCTTCCTGCCTCAGGCTCCCCAGCAGCTGTGACGCCAGGCACCTGCTGCAGTGCCTGGCTATTTTTTTTTTTTTAATAAGAGACAGACCTGGTGGCTCAGACCTGCAATCCCAACACTCTGGGAGGCCAAGGTGAATAGATGCTTGAGTTCAGGAGTTTGAGACCAGCCTGACCAATCATTTATTTTTAGTCTTAAAAATTGTCCTGTTAATGGAAGTCCTTGTATTTGTAGTTCTCATATTTGTAGTCCTTAAAGAACTTTTACTTACCTTTCTGTGATCCTGTTTGCTGGTCAGCAACTGTGTAGCAGGCTGTGTGAGGGGTACTGCTTCTGTTCTGTAGCTGAGGAAACTCAGGCTCAGCGAGGCGAAGCATTTCCCCACAGTCACACAGTGATGACGGGGCTGAGGGCAGAAGTACGTCAGACTCGTTGCTTGATACTTCTTCTGTTATTTTACCTTTCTGGATTTGGGGTTTATGGTGATTAAGATTCTTGGACAGCGATCAATGGAGATTACCTTATAGTGTGCCTTGTTCCTTGGATGACTGATAGGCCATTTTTTCATTTTCTGTACAGTTGTATTGCTACTAAAGCAGACGTGCATAGTGGAGGGAATCATTTTATCTACCAAGGGCCACTGATCTATAGAAAGAAAATGTAAGCACAGTTACTTAAAAGACAAATTTATTGTTAGGTTTTAAAAGTGAAATAAATATAAAATGTTCATTCACCAACTTTTAAATTGTGAATAAGATAAGTTCAACAGACAGGTGTATATAAATACTGAAGGTCCCTGACCTGTGATGGTTCAACTAAAAAAAATTTTTTTTAAATTTTTAAAAATGCATATGTTTTAGAGGCAGGGTCTGGCTCTGCCATCCCAGCTGTAGTACAGTGGTACGGTCATTGCTCACTGAGCCTTGAATTCCTGGGTTCAGGTGATCTTCCCACCTCAACCTCCTGAGTAGCTGGGACTATAGGTGCACACCACCATGTCTGGCTAGATTTTTTTTTTTTCTTTGCAGGCTAAATTTTTTTTTTTTTTTTTTGCAGTTTTTGGCCAGGACTGGGTTTGAACCCACCACTTCTGGCATATGGGGCCAGCACTCTACTCCTTTGAGCCACAGGTGCCACCCTAGATTTTTTTTTTTTAGGTAGTGATAGGGTCTTGCTATGTTGCCCAGGCTAAATCTCAAACTCCTGGCCTCCTGCAATCCACTTCAGCCTCCCAAAGTGCTGGTGTTACAGGTATAAACCACCAACCATACCTGGTCTCGCTTAAAATTTTTTGACTTTACAATGGTTCAAAAGCAATGTACATTCATTAGGAATCATGCTTCTAGTGCTGATTTTGACCTTTACCGGGACTGTTGCCTGTTGTCACGTGGTAGTCTCATGACTGGAGGGATTAGATTGGGTTACACGTATTAAATGCATTCAGCTTACATTAGGGTAGGTTAGGTGTATTACATGCATTATTGACTAAGGATATTTTCACTTTATGATGGATTTAGGGGAAGATAACCTTATTGTAAATTGAGGAGTGTCTGTATTATGTTTGGTTTTCTTAGTTATCTATTCTATCTTCACTCTCACATAAATCCTGTGGCTGTCAGAAATTCTTTAGGGTGGTCAGTGTGTGACTGGCCTCGGGTCTCTTAAATATACAGAAGCTCATTGTGAATCATGCAGTGTGTAGACTGAATCATTGTTGCCTGACTCTGTCAGTCACTTGCCAGGTGTTTGCTTTGGGGTTTGTGTAGCTTGATTCTCTGTGAGGATGTAGGTGCACACCACCATGTGACTCAGAGACTGTGAGTCTTCTGAGTCATCGTACCACGGAGCCCTGTAGACCCCACTGACACAAACCAATTTAACCCCATTCCCAAATTCCCCAACTATTTTTGCATTATTTCACTTACTCATCCTTAATCTAAGGTTATCTCTTTTCAGCAGCACTCAGTGCCAGCAACTAATAAGGAAGTGAACAAATTTCCTGGTTTACTTGGCTCTGGGGAGTAAGCCACCATGAATGGGAATAGCTCACACTTGTCTTCTGGGTTCTGAGTAAAGACAGTCAGACTAGTTTTCCAGGTTCTCAGGTCCAAAGGGTTAAAGCAGACTTGAGAGTATATCAGGCACGCCTGGAGAATGGGTTGAGTACAGACTGCTGATCCCCACCCAAGTTCCCTGGTGCGGCAGTTCTGACAAATTACCAGGTGAAGTTGATGTTGCTTAACTAGTAGCTGGTTCCTATAAAAAATAAAAGGGGTCTGTGGTGTATACATACTTAAATATTCATGTGGCTGTACACTTAAGATTTGTGCATATTATTATTTGTAATTAAACCTTAATAAAATGACAGAGATGGGGAAGGGAGGGAAAGCACATTTATGACAGCTATAGATTTGTGATTCCTGCCTTGGGAACTGACAAGAGGAGTGTGAAGTTTCAGGGTGCTTCTAACTCATTAATGTGAGAAGGTCTCTCTAATGCAGTATATTTTCTTAAAAATTCACAGCATTAATTTTAGTTCAGTTTATAAATTGGTAATTATAATGAATTTGGTAAATAATAATGGCTCTTGAAAAATCAAATTTTGTTTTTAAAATATCCACTGGGGTTTTTTTGTCTTATTTTAATAATATCTTCCTTTTGCAAACGCAAAAATGATAGATAAATGCTAAAGTGGTTTATAGACATACGAGTCACTAGTGTTTCTTAGTTTTACCTTGAAGTAAATCTAATACGTCAACAAAAACACATTTTTGGTCTTTGTCTTTAAGAAAAAATATTACCAGAATCTTCTCCACCTTTGAAGAAAGTGGAGGAGGAACAAGAGGCTGATGAAGAAGATGTTTCAGAAGAGGAAGCTGAAAGCAAGGGAGGAGCCAACAAAGACTTTCCACAAAACGCCGTCAGGCAGCGCTCTGTGGGCCCTTCTCTGGCCACAGATAATCCTAGCTAATTTTTACAGATGTCTTAATATTATGATTTTGACAAAAACAAGATCGATCATTGCTTTTGGTTTGAAGTGAACTGACTTCCTTGTATATTGCAGGGTTCTGTCTAAATTGTCATTAGATTGGATAGTTTAGATTCAGAAAATAAAAGCACTAGGTATAATTTGAAATATGATTTAAGAACATGTGATGGTTTAAGCAGTTCTTTAATTTTTGAAAAATCTGGTGCCAAGCAATAAGATTTGTGTATATTTGTTTAATAATAACCTATTCCAAATCTGAGTTTTGAAAATATACTTGTCCCAAGTATTGCTTTAGTGGGGTAATTAAGAAGATTACTTTAGAGAAAAAGATTTCTCATTTGGTGTAAGTTTTCTTGGTTTCACTGTGTGAAAAAAAGAACATATTTCCCATTAATGGGAACTTTGCCCATTGTCTCAAGAAATATGTGTTTCAGTGACAAATCCTTGTTTTTTTTAGATATATGGTCCAAAATCTCCTCATTTTTAGATTATGCAACTAATAAAAAATACTTACAGTTTTCTATACATGTTAGTACAGAATCTGCTATTGATTTGAAAAGTTTTTATAAGTCTGTGTTATTCTGGATTCCTATGAAGGCTTGTCTTTTTTGTTAAGTATATGGTTTATATTTTTCTTAGATGCCATGGATTACATTTTTTATTTTTCAAAATGGATGATAATTTCCCGGAAATGTTTTTCATGTTTTGGTAACAGTCCTTTTTGTTGTTTTAACTGAAGTTTACAGAGAGATCCATCAGATTGAGCTGTCTTTTGATAATCAGAAGTGACGAAGTGGCTGTTCAGGTTTCACTTTATTCTTCTGAATTTCTACTTGAACTTTTTTTTTTTTTTTTTTTTTT